AAACTTAACAGGATTTGTTATTCCTCTGTGCTGCTGAGGTCACTATGCACTATAGCACTGATACAGTCTAAAATGATAAAGCAGGTGTTCTAAACAGGAGGGTAACTATGATACTGGATATCTAAATTAGGCACCCTTGCATACTAGGAAATGTACTGCATTTCACTCAATCAATGGTGGTCAACTCTCCTGACATAGAGGACCTCAAGTACGCCCTCTGACAACACCAGAGGGCCACACATCATATTCAGTAAATGTAATGCAACATAAACCTTTCAGAGACTATTGGCACATGCAACAGAAGAGAGTGAAAGACTACAAGACATAGTCAGAAAGTGTAGACATGCTGCAGGAGATGGAGATGGCAAGAACAAAAATCAGAAATTCAGTTTTTGGTGACTGGGGACATGCTTTAGCAGACATTCATAGTCTGAGGACACATTACGAGACTGTTAGAAATTACTGCTATTACAAGGCAATAGGGCAGCAAAAACACTGACTGTAGAAGTCCCAAGAGTCTCAAAAAAAGTGTCAAATGGATGCATTCAGCCCCCAGGCTGCATGATCGGCTCCAGGGTACCAGATAGTAAAGAAAGAATCAAAGTAACAGCTCTGGAGCCAGCATCTCTACAGCTTCTTTCTCAGTGCAAGTCTACCAGCCCGATTAATTAAAACCAATAAATCATTTTATCATTGTGTGTCATTGATTTGAAAACCTCACATCTACATAAAGTGAGCAATAGCACCTAATACACTATCTAAAAAAATCCCCTTATATCTAAAAAAGGCCAGTAGGAACAGGCAGGAAATTGATCTTCATTTGTCACTATCGGGAAGTGTTGCAACTTACCAGTTATAGCAGTCCAGGGATTAGGGATCCTGAGCTGCAAAGACACCGTCTAAAAGTATACAGTGACTTTATGTTACTGCCGAAACCTCTTTTACATTGCATGGACATTAGTGATTTTGTACATACGCTAGGCAATTTAGGGCAATTCATGTACAACATGTGATTGTCATTACATTGGCCTCAAGGCTGTCAAATTATTTCTGACAAAAAAAAACCCTTTACTGAAGAGGACTGGTTCAGTCTGTCACAGGTAGGTTTCTAATCTACGCACAAATTTTCATAAATTAAAGTTGAGTACCTCCTACAATTGAAATGCAGACGACCAGTTCAGTCTGCTACAAGTAGGTTTCTCATCTGTGCACGTTTTTCCTGAAATGAACATTGAGTACCCCGTACATTGCGAGGGCTACACCTACGACAGCTGGGATTCTTTCCATTGTTCTAAAATTACAACACATTGCTTGTAAGAAATCAAACAAAATCCAGATCAACTGCAAAACTGAAGATGACACTTGACATACATTGCACAATCTTGATGGGTATATGCACTTTTCAAAACTTTTAGCTCCTTTTGGATAGCCAGACATATAAAGCAAGTTTGCAAACAATGCCATTAATCTTTGTCCTTTTTTCTTCTATTTCTTGATAAAGATATCTAGTAGTGAGGAGCGAATTTGCTTGTGTTAAACTCATGGGCTGTTTGTCAAACTTGAGGTAAATTCCAAACATTGTGATCTTTAATCAGAGCCCCATTCAAGTCAAGTCAAGTGATTGACAAACCAAGGGTATGGAAAGCTGGGCACTGCCCAGGAGGGGCGGGTACCAATGCAAAAATCTATTTTAAGAACTACCTTTCAGCAGTAGGAGGACCCATCACATAATTTGGATTTTTAATATAATTTATATTTTTTACTTTTGGATTGTTCCTTGACTTACACAAAGCATCAGCATCAGTAAAACTGTACATATCTTTGCAACTACTTAGTGTAGGTGAATTATCCCTTGTTTTGTTCAGGGTGAATTGGGCCTTCGTTTGGTGTCAAATATATAATTTTAAACTTTAGCTATATATTTCTTTCTTTTACCATGAGGCACAATAAAAAAACAACAGAATGCATCCAGGGGAGTGTATGTGCAAGTTCGGGATAGCATGTAGCATCTTACAGCCGCGTCCTGTCATTGAGTTGTTTAGGTGGCTGCAGGCACCAGCTGTCACTTCGGGGCGCACAATGTACAGCTGAGTACATCTGTGTGAAGGAGCCCTAACACTTACCTAGATTAAGCCCTAACTTATTTTTTAACAGACATATTATTTTCTTTTTTTACAGACTTTTCCTCTATTGGGGAGAAAAAAACACAATGAATGGCTAGCTATGGATATCATAGTGATCATGTGATCTGGAGGCAGAGCTGCTGGCTCCCAATTGTTAACCAAGAAGCTGTCAGTCACAGCTTGGTCTTGGTGCTTCTCCCTGCTAAAAATATGTGGTCATATACTAATTTGTAGTATGGGTTCATGTGGTTTTCCCCCTAAACAATCTATTATTTCTTGCCATCTGTCAGCTGCCAGAGTTAGTGCAGGGTGTGCACTGGTGATAGAACAGAGCAACCAATGGGATTGCTAGGAGTAGATATCCTTTCCCAGCCAATCACTGTTGAACGATAGCCAGTGGTGCATGCAATTCTCGGGGTGGGCCATGTGAGCTCCCTCTTCCTCCCCCAGGCCCTGCCTGTGGGAAGGCTGCCCTGAACTGCCTAAGCGGACCAGGCCTCAAAGCCTGGGGACTAGCTATGGAATCACTCTGGAACCTGGTGGCATAAGGTCCAAGGGTTGCTACTGCTAAAGACAAGTAGCTTCTACCTCAAGTAATGCTGTGTCAGGTGTTTGACCTGCTGTGTATGGAAGCCACACTCTCTGAAAAGCCATGGAGTCTACATCTGCCTGGATAAGCCTAACCCTCCTCTACCTCTTTTCCTGAAGTTCTCCAATAATTGTTTCAAGCATCATAACCACAGACTGGGCCTTCAATCGTTCAATGGAAGGGCGGTAAGTGCTGATGGGTAAAGAGAGCAACAATATCCCTAGACGCAAAGAACCGGAACTGTCTTAAGCCATAGCAACCGACCCTAGTACTCAAGGTGTGCTGGTGTGCTGTGGATCCATAGTAGAGGTTTCTTATAGAGGAAAGACATGGAGACCCGTTAGTTTAGTTTACTGTAGATCACCCCTTCAGAGCCACCGGTAGTGTTATCCTGTGTTGGGATTGCGCTGACTGGGAAGGGGGAGCGCTACAGTTTTAAAACAACCTTTTCTCTTTTACTCCTGCCCTAAATTAAAAAATCTCCAGTCCCTGAGCTCCCTCCTGTAACCTAATGCCTAGGCAGAAAATTGCATGCCAAAAGAATGCTGAAAGTTTATTTTGCTTAATTAGACACTGTCGTGGAGATATGCAGTATGACAATTGGCAAAGGCCAACCACTCTGCAGCACTTTCAAGCAGGCACAGAGCCTGTATCTGTAACAAAAACAAATATTGCTTCCCCCGTGTAAGTATGTAATTAACTTTATGCAGATGTGATCAAATCAATGACACACACTTATTATTTAACACACATAAATTATTTCTTATTGGGCTAATCCTAATTTACGTGTTTATCTAAAAAGTATAGAAAAGACCCCAGTTCACGTAAGCAACAAAGAAGATGAATTGAGGGGAATGTATCAAAACCAGAGCAGACAGAATCTGGAGCAGTTGCCCAGGGCAACCAGTCAGCTTCTCTCTTTCATTTTCAAAATGTAGCTGAACTAAAGAGAGAAGCTGATTGGTTGCTATATGCAACTGCTCCAGTTTTGATAAATTCCACCCATTGTTTTTGATCAGTTAAGTGCTTGTTCCACTGGCCATGCTCTCATGAAATTTACAAAGCAGTCAAAATGCATGGCCATTGCTTTCAATAGTAGGGGGGTAATCTGATAAGGTGGTGTGGTTTGAGGACACTTTATTCTCAGGATAAATTCACAGACTTAACAGGTGAATGCGGACTACAGAAAGCTTCCCCATACAAGAGATTTCCACACACAGAAGTGAAATCTGAAGTTAATTTTCAGACCTCTGTAGTTGTGCAATGGTAATATTGTGTTGATGACGGCAAGGATGAGCTGCAGAAAGATACAGGGGCTTATTCACAAAGCTGCTGAAGGCACCCGAGTGATTAACCCAGCCGAAGTGAGCCGAACGAAGAGCCTTGATCCGAGCACAGGCCTGGCAGGGCAGGAAAGAGAGGGGACGAGCGAGCACCCCCCCCCCACCATACCAGGCCACATGTCCTCGGCACTGGGAGGGTGCTTTTCCAGGCAGGGCCACCGTCAGGGGGGTACGGCTGATAGTCAAGTAAGGGGCCCAGGCCTGCCTGAGGGGCCCGGGAGCCTAACAAAAGTATCAGCTGACCGTACAGGTGACTGGCAGGAGGTGGAGGCGGCCGGGCCCCCGAAGCACCGAAGGAAGCCGGGGCCCGCACACTCCAGATCCTCACCTGGGGTGCTCTGTGCGGGTGTCCCCCTGGTGTCCCCCTGCAATTGTCCCCGGTGTCCCCTGTGACTGACTGCACATTAGGTTTTCAAAGATGGCCGCCGCAAGTGCCCACATCTCAGTGCCGAAACAGCAATATATTAAATGAAAATCATTCCCTGGTGGTCCAGTGGGGAATCAGTATGAACTGCCACTCTTGCTGATGCAGATCATACTGATCGCTCCCTCGTGGTGCCGCCAATGACTAGCAGGGATCGATTAGTATGGTCTGCATCAGCCTGAGATGCAGATCACACTGATCCTCCACTCGACCATCAGGATAATCCAAGTGCCACACTGGACCCCAGGAATGCAGCCCCCCTTCCTGCAAAACAGGTAAGCAGGAGAGGGGGACATTTTTGTAATTAACTATTGCTAGTTGCGTGTGTGTTTTTTTATTGTGTTTTTTTTAATGTTTGTGTGGGATTTTTTTTTTAACCTCCCTGGCGGTATGATTATTATATTTTTTTTTCCTTTTTTGTTCTATCTGTTTTTTTTTGTTTGTTTGTTTGTAACATTTAAACTTCCTGCGGGTTCCCCCTGCGACGCGGACACTCGCAAGGGACGGAACCCGGAAGACGGATGTCGGCATCGGCCGGAGGACCCAGCGGGGATCGCGAACAAGGTAAGAAACGCTACGCTATATTCCCGAGTGTGGCTTGGGGTTACCACTTATGGTACTGAAAATTAACCCCGAGCCACACTCGGGATTGCCGCCAGGGAGGTTAATGAATGAAGGGTAGAAAAAATGGTACATGCATGAATCTATAACCGGCATAGGCGTCTCTACAGGTTAGAAGCCACACTGCCGCGTCAAGGCACCTCTGCAAAGTGTGGTCTGAGGAAGACCCCTTGGTGAGACCCCTTAGAGCCCTGTTTAAAACAGGGCTCTGTGGGGTCTCAACAGCCTGGTTAGGCCCCTTCAGAGCCCTGGTGAGGCCCTGGTGCTGGTGAGACCCCACAGAGCACCGGTGAGACCCTACGGAGCCCTGGTGCTGGTGAGACCCCACAGAGCACCGGTGAGACCCTACGGAGCCCTGGTGCTGGTGAGACCCCACAGAGCACCGGTGAGACCCTACGGAGCCCTGGTGCTGGTGAGACCCCACAGAGCACCGGTGAGACCCTACGGAGCCCTGGTGCTGGTGAGACCCCACAGAGCACCGGTGAGACCCTACGGAGCCCTGGTGCTGGTGAGACCCCACAGAGCACCGGTGAGACCCTACGGAGCCCTGGTGCTGGTGAGACCCCACAGAGCACCGGTGAGACCCTACGGAGCCCTGGTGCTGGTGAGACCCTATCTCGCCCTGGTGAGACCACAGAAAGCCCTGGTTAAACCAGGGCTCTGAGGGGGCCTCACCAGGGTAGCAGGGTTCTGTGGGGTCTCCTCAGGGCCCTGTGGGGTCTAACCATCCTTGTTAGTCCCGCAGAGCCCTGGGGAGACCCCTCAAAGCCCTGGTGAGACCCCTTTAGTGCCCTGATGAAACCCCCTTAGTGCCCTGATGAGACCCCACAAAGCCCTGGTTAAACCAGAGCTCTGTAGGGTCTCACCAGGGCGAGATAGGGTCTCAACCGCACCAGGGCTCCATAGGTTCTCACCGGTGCTCTGTGGGGTCTCAACAGCCTGGTAAGGCCCCTTCAGGGCCCTGGTGAGACCACAGAAAGCCCTGGTTAAACCAGGGCTCTGAGGGGGCCTCACCAGGGTAGCAGGGTTCTGTGGGGTCTCACCAGGGCTTTGAGGGGTCTCACCAGGGCTTTGAGGGGTCTCACCAGGGCTTTGAGGGGTCTCACCAGGGCTTTGAGGGGTCTCACCAGGGCTTTGAGGGGTCTCACCAGGGCTTTGAGGGGTCTCACCAGGGCTTTGAGGGGTCTCACCAGGGCTTTGAGGGGTCTCACCAGGGCTTTGAGGGGTCTCACCAGGGCTTTGAGGGGTCTCACCAGGGCTTTGAGGGGTCTCACCAGGGCTTTGAGGGGTCTCACCAGGGCTTTGAGGGGTCTCACCAGGGCTTTGAGGGGTCTCACCAGGGCTTTGAGGGGTCTCACCAGGGCTTTGAGGGGTCTCACCAGGGCTTTGAGGGGTCTCACCAGGGCTTTGAGGGGTCTCACCAGGGCTTTGAGGGGTCTCACCAGGGCTTTGAGGGGTCTCACCAGGGCTTTGAGGGGTCTCACCAGGGCTTTGAGGGGTCTCACCAGGGCTTTGAGGGGTCTCACCAGGGCTTTGAGGGGTCTCACCAGGGCTTTGAGGGGTCTCACCAGGGCTTTGAGGGGTCTCACCAGGGCTCTGAGGGGGCCACACCAGGGTAGCAAGGTTCTGTGGGATCTCACCAGCCTGGTTAGACCGCTTCAGAGCACTGGTGAGACCCCACAGATCAGGGATCTGTCGGCTCTAACTTGCACTGTAAGTCACACCGCTGACCTCTGCATCACACTGCTGACCTCTGCACTGTAGATCACACCACTGACCTCTGCGTCACACTGCTGACCTCTGCACTGTTAGTCAAACCGCTGACCTCTACACTGTGCGTCACAGCGCTGACCTCTGCACTCTGCAGCACACCACTGACCTGCACACTATAAGTCACACCGCTGACCTCTGTGTCACACTGCTGTCCTGTGTTAGGTCCCGCGCAGCAGCCTTCTGAAGAACCACATGGCGCCTTTTTACAGGGCTTCCGCCAGTTGCTCATCTTCCCCTCCTGAGACCCTTTGCCCGAGACTTTAGGGTGGTACCTCAGAGCAGAGCGGCAGCACAGAGTATGTATCAAATTCATATACTATTATTCTGCATTGCTGTATAATGTATTGCTAGGATTTTTAGTCCTCTATAGCTGATGGTATTCTGCATTAGAGTGTAAGCTCCTCTGTACAGAGACTGATGTACTGTAACTGGCTCAGTGTTCTCTGTACAGCACTGTGGTATATGTCAGAGCTATATAAATGTATAATAATAATAGTGTATTACTGTGGGGGGAAATTAGAGTGTAGAGTCTCCTTTGTACAGAGACTGATAGACATGTGCACTGGCAAAAAAAATGTTTAGTTTTTGTTTCGTTTCAATTCTGATTTTGTGTTATTACGTTTTTTTGGGATGTGGGTGTGAAAGTCAATTCGTAATTTGGACAAAATTTGTCAGCGGTAGTTCGTTCGAACGTTCGTTTCTTATTCGCTTTTTATTCGTTTCGTTCATTCGTTCAGTCGTTGCAGCAAAGTAACATTTGTGGAGAAAAAAAGTGTTTTCACCTTCTCTGATGCCACTTTGCTGCAACGAATGAATGAATGAACAAAACAAATAAGAAACGAACTACCGCTAATGAATTTCGGAAACTAAAGTTCGGATTCCTTTGCATTCATTATATCTGTAATTCGGAATTCAGATACATCCGAATGTCCGAATTTCCGAAACTTCGTCCGAATTTCGTTTCGGAACAAAACGAATTGCACATGTCTAGAGACTGATGTGACTTTGTACAGAGACTGATGTTTGACTTACAGTGCAGAGGTTGGGAGGGGGGACCGCACACTTTTTTTTTTCTTTATAAATCTAATTTTTGCTGCAGCATGTTCTATATATTGTACAGATCTGCCACTTTACAGGCAGTTTAAGGGGACCCCCCCAATGATATTTAAAGCAATTTTCCCATTTATTATTTCACTTTAAGCAATGTTAAAATCACTGCTCCTTTAAAGCGGTATTTTTTAAAAGTGTTTTTTGCATTGATACATCCCCCAGGGCCAATCCGGTGATCAGCTGTGCCTCATTCTACAGCCCATTTAGGCTTCTCCCAAATAAAAAGAGAAGCAGAAACTGAAGCAGACAGAATCTGGAGTAGTTACCCATGGCAACCATTAGCTTCTCCTCTGCAGTTTGTTCAGTTAAGATTGATTTGAAAATGAAAGATAAAAGCTGATTGGTTGCCATGCACTGCTGCTCCAGATTTTGTCTGCTCCAATTTTGATAAATTCCTCCCTGTGTGGACCAGCCTCTAGCATCCTAGCAACAATGACAATGTGTGGGCTGCTAAGAACCCAGGTGGTCCTGATTTCGGTTCATTTGGATGGTCGCCAAACCTGGGTTTAAGGCTGGGTTTGCTGAACATCCATAGGCTGGGAGGGAGGCTGCAGACCTTCCATTGGATGGCTTAGAGCAGAAGAGCGGGACCTGAAGTCAGGGGACAAGGAGGAAGCTGTAGGCATTCCCTTATAATATGGAGGCAACATTGCTGCCCCCCCCCCACACCAGGAAGAGGGCAAGAGGACAGAGCACTGGAATTAGATCAACTGTGTGCATGGTAATTCCCTTTCTGAGTCACACTGCTGACCTCTGTACTGTGCGTCACACTGCTGACCTATGTACTGTGCATCTCACCACTGACCTCTGTACTGTGCGTCACACTGCTCACCCCTGTACTGTGCGACAGACCTCTGCAGTGTGCGTCACACCGCTGAACTCTGTACTGTGCGTCACACCGCTGACATCTGTACTGTGTGTCACACCGCTGATATTTGTACTGTACATTACACCGCTGACTTCTGCACTGTGCGTCACACCGCTGACCTCTGCACTGTGCGTCACACCGCTGACCTCTGCACTGTGCATCACACCGCTGACCTCTGTACTGTGCATCAAACCGCAGACCTCTGCGCCAGGGTCATAACTAGAAATAACAGGGCCCCATAGCAAAAGTTTGCGTGGGGCCCTGTGATTTCTAGTTACGCCCCTTGCAGAGCCCACCTGAGATCCCACACAGCCCACCACAGACTCTCTATTGTGTTTTGCAGGGTCTCAGGTGGACTAGTCATACCCCTGAACATCTCTTAACTGTCAGCCTCGATCCACTGCAGCCTTCTACACTGCCGGGCCGCGCCTCTTCCTGGTCACCGATGGGCCTTGCCTCCTACTCCACCGCCAGGCCTGCCTCTCCCTCCACTATTGCCGGGCCTCGGCTCCTCCTCCACTGCCGACGACGGGCCCATCCTCCTCCACCGCATCTGCTGGTTGTCACTGACTCAGCAGTGGCTGTAATAGTAATGTATTGCTAGGATTTGTAGTCCTCTGTAGCTCGTGGTATTATTCTGCATTTCTGTATAATTTACTGCTGGGATTTTTACTCCTCTATAGCTGGTGGTATTCTGCATTGCTGTATAATGTGTTGTTGGGATTTGTAGTTCTCTATGGCTGATGGTATCCCGCATTGCTGTATAATGTATTGCTGGGATTTGTAGTCCTCTATAGCTGGTGGTATTTGGCATTCCTGTATAATGCATTGTTGGGATTTGTAGTCCTCTGTAGCTGATGGTATTCTGCACTGCTGTATAATGTATTGCTGCATAACGGACCTCTGTGGTGGATTGGTGTCTTTAGACCCGCTTCTGTGCTCTCTTCTTTTAGTGTGGCAGCACCTCTCCTGATCCAGTAGGGAGGTAAGGCTTGAAATCACTTCACAAAGCAGAACTGGCGAATGAGGTGATTTAAAGCCTCACCTCTGTGGTGGAACAAGAGTGGCCCTGCCGCGACAAAAGAAGGAGAGCCCTGAAGTGTGGGGAAGAGGCAGGGGGGTTTGGATGAAGATCTTCTTCTGGCTTGGGAGCAACTCTGAGTCTTTGCCCCGGGTGACGGAATGTCTAGCT